ACTTTGTGACTCTCTGTCTGTCATGTATCTATTGACATCTATTCTGTGCGAAGCAAAGTGTTGTGCGGAGATAAGTGCTACACTATTGTGGGAGTCACCTCTATAATCTGTACAAGCTACCTATTGAATCCATACCTTTGTTCTAACTGCCACTCTTGTGACCTTTGTTCTATTCTGTTTTGTTCGGTACCGTGGTTATGGTTATTTATTTACATAATCTCAGTTTTGCTACTTAAATGATTATTTGTTCAGACTAAATTATCTTAGATATTTTAGTTACATAACTATCCATGGTTATTTTGTGTCCCTTATACTCTTAGCATAATATTTCTCACTCTGCAATGTGTTTATAGCTGTTTATCAATTTTTAGGAAACAATGCAATTCAGAAATAGTTTTTGAAAAGTCTTAGATGCGGGGTTGCGGAATAGACACACACAACACTTTTATGGATATGTTTATATGTAAATATCGACTTTTTTTGTTAATAAATTTTGTTATAAAAATAGAAGCTCCAATTGGTACCCTCACTTGAATATTATTTCCGCTTGCGTTTATTAATTTGTTTAAGAATTGGCCGGAGGTAATCTCAGTTAGTGGCCATTACGATACTTAACCCTTGTGTACGAGGAGCGGGTCGTGACAATAATTATTAATGAAATGGATTATTTGTTATTAAATTAGAAACTTCAAGAGATGAGATATAACTTTTAGAATCATAGGGGGCAATTCGTATTTTAAGTAAATATCAAAAAATGTATTTATAATTTACTCTATTTTTTATATAATAAATATACAATCTCCATATAACTTATCTCACATAACACAAAATTTATTGAGGTAAAAAAAGACTTATAACACATCTTCACTAATAATAATAATAATAAAAAGACAAAATCCATATTATCCCTTGTGGTTTTGGATTAACATGCTACAATTACATTTTTTTTATCTAAACTAATGGAGAGTGTGTCTCATATGCCCATTTTGAAAGTGGGGAATGACAACAACAACAACAACCAAAAAAAAAAGAAGTCAAAGTTATTTACAACGTAAAAAGACGAAACTAGCCTTGTTTTAAATTTCCTATTTAATAACATTTTAAATTAAATATACATATCATATATATAATTAAATTAACCTAAATACCTTAATTTATTATTATAAAAATTAATCATCCAACTACTTTAATCTAGTTTTTATTTTTTAAGACAATTTTTTCTTTAATAACATTTTTAAAAAAAACATAAACACACATATATAAAACAAATTAAATCATAAATTAAACTAAACACCCTAATTTATTACTATAAAATTACCTTAGTTAATAACATTTTAAATTAAACATATACATAATATATAACAAATTAAATCATAAAAGTACTTTAATCTAATTTTAAATTTTTAACTCAATTTATTATTTAACAACATTTTAAATTAAACATGCACATATATATGTTTAACAAATTAAATCATAAATTAATTAAAATTAAAAATTAAATTTATTAAAAAAATATTTAGGAAACTCTAGTTTCTTAAATTAGTTTTGTGTTATGTTTTTAATTTTTTTGCTTAGTTTTGGAGGTAAATTTATTTATTTATTTATAAAGAGAGCCATAAATAGAAAAAGAAGACATAAAGGGTATAATTGTCTTATTATGGTTAACATTAACGGTGTTAAGGTTGCATTTTAGTCTAGAATCACATGAGGGCTATATGACTATTTTTAAAGAACAAGAGGGTTAAGTGCTATCAAATTATATTACAATGAGGTAAAATAGATTTTGTCTTAAAAAAATTAAAATTTTATTATTAATTTTAACACATGTAAGTTGGCCCCCTCTATGTAGAATTTCTGCTGCGTATGCCATATTGTAGATGGCCGTCTAGCCATTTGGGCCTACGTGCACAATGTTTTGTGTTTCTTTTTTGATTTTTAGGGTTTTTAAGTTTTAAAATGTGGTTCTTAGGCATAGGCCTCCAAAATATTTTGAAAATAATTTGTATTTAGTAATTAAATACGCCCACTTTAAAATAAAAAAAAAAATTCTGGTCCAAGTCTGGTCTATAGATTTTGTAAAAAGACCATTTTACTATTATTTGTTGAAAATTGACGAGCAATCGTAAAATGTCTACAAAATCTTTATTTAATTGGATTCGATCAAATTTTATATCATTGGGAAGTTCTTTGACAAGACTGTAGACTTAAATCAATCAATTTTTGAATCTCAAAAGCTTTTATGTCACACAAAAGATAAAACATTTTTTTTTTCAACCTTGCGAGAGATAGAGAAGAATGAAATGAATGAATCCTCGAATCCAATGTCTCAACTAGGTCTAAAAAGTTTGGTCAGATTGTTTGGCTAAGATAAAGTCCATTTAGCCTCATCCGAATAACAATACAAATACTAAAGGAAAATGAAGTTGTAACTAGAAACTCGAAAATCAAAAAGTCAATATCCCACAACAAATACAAGTCAACAATAAAACGATTAAGTATAAAGCTCGACTATAGAAATTAAGTCAAACCTAAAAGTCTGGTTGAAGGCTTGGGTTTAAAGCTTGGATTATGACATCCATTTTCAAGACAAAAATGATTTAGACCTCTAAAAAGAGAGCTCTAATGGAGCATTAATTTGTCTTCTTCCTCTCAATTTTTTGTCTTTTACTTCACTGTTTTGTTTTGTTTTGTTTTGTTTTTTTTTTTTTAATATAAGTGGACAGCTCATTAGAGCTGCACTGTAGCAGCTCTAATTAGAGCTCTGCAGCACTTCCGATTTTCAAGTAAGGGAAGATTGTGTGAATGACTTAAGGATGAGGGGTCACTGCAGTGGTGCCCCCCCTGCTGTGCCTGCTGTGCTGTTCAAAACGGCACCGTTTTTTTTTTTTTTTTTTTTTTGAGGATTACATTAACTTCATATTTCTTGTCCCCAAAAAAAAAAAAAATCTTAAATTCTAAACCCTAAAATAAAAAACATAAATTTTAAGAATTAAACCCTAAACCCTAAAATAAAAAAAAAAAAATTTTAAGAATTAAACCTTAATCCCTAAAATAAAAAAAATAAATTTTATCCCTAAATCTTAAAATAAAAAAATAAATTTTAAGAATTAAACCCTAAACTACCAAATATTTTTCAATTTGAAAATTTTAAACGATATTGATTGAGTTATTTGATAATGACAATTCATATAAATAAGGGCATTTCCAACCAAGAGACTAGACAAATCAAGTCAGACTAAGCAAAGTTCAGTTCATTTAATAAAAGAATTTAAAAATTAAGTCCAATTTTATGGACTAAAATATGTAAATCTCACGTCCTTCAAAAAGTGGGCAGGATAGATCATAAGGTTCGTCCCTATAAATTAAGAAAATTAAAAAAATTTGTAAATTAAAAAATGAATAGAATATAAAATTATTATATGATTCTAAAATATTATATGATATTGTTCATATAATATTTTAACAGACAAAAATCACAAAATAAAATTTTTTTTTTTTGGTGGCAAAAAAAATGAAGATAATGTAATCCCCAAAAAAAAAAAAAAAAAAAAAAAAAAAAAGGTACCATTTTGAACGGCACAGCACGGGGACACCACCGCAGTGACCCCTCATCCATGACTTAAAGGCAACCAATAAATGATCTAAAACATATTTGCTCATATCTGGGTTGTTCCATTGCGCGCTCCCATTGTTCACATTTTTCCAGCAAAACTGTTCAATATTCAATGTAATATCCCTAAATCACTAAGTCTACAATAAAAGGGGAAAAAAAAAAAAAACACCACTTGAGTTTTAATTGCAATGAATAAATTATGGAGCCATGAGAATATCCATTCCCAAAAGTAAGGGAAGATGTTGTGATTAGGGTTGTTTGGATAGCGTTAGATTAATTTTTCTTTTACTTTTTTTGAAAAAAATGTGAAATGTCAGTTAAGATTAAAGTGATGTAATAGAGAGGTAATGTGACCCAAATAAGAGATGATATGATCCAAATAAAATAATGTACTAAAATAACATGTATTATTTTAACATATGCCAAACAAGCTCTAAAGTTGAAAGCAATCAACAACAAATGATAATACCCACTCCCATTTACATTTTTATAAATCTGACACGTTGGACATAATTATATTAGGTTTTATTAAAATTTTAATTCATATAACACTTAACTCTTTTTCTATCGATAATTCATTGCTCATATAGATGAAAAAATGATGTTGTCACATGATTTTCACTGAAATGTATATTTTGACTTGTTTATTCTTATATTTTCACACTATCTAATATTAGTTTCAGTCTATTTAACTTTATTAAAAAAAAGAAGTCATTGTGATTATGTTAAAATTGGAGAACAAATAGTATTTCCTACAAATTTTAGAGGAGATCAGTGTAATTTACTCTTTTATTTATTAAGGGTAAATTACAAATGTGTTTATTACAATTAGGAGTGTCCGCGGTTCGATTGCGACTTAGGAACCTCTAATCTGTCAGATCAGCGGATGCAAATTGAACGGATTGACAAATTGGAGGATGGATGTAAATCGATTTGGTGATTTACATTTTACAGATTTTCAACACAATAAAATATATCGACATAGTATTTTTCTTTTTTTTGGGAGGGGATAACAATCAAATTTGTTTTATTAATAATGACTACAAACATGAATAATAATCCAACAATCCTCTATCCTAACAATGACTATAAATTAGAGGTGCTCACAAATCGATTGCCGCCTACGAACTTTCAATTCGTTATCTGTCCAAAATTAGACAGTTTGAAAAAAATCAATCTGTATTTGATTGATTTAGTTTTTTTTATAAATAATATACAAAGAATCAATTCGATTTGGTTGATTTGGACACCTCTAATTATCAGATCAATTTAATTTTTTTATAAATAATATACACAAAATACTTAATAAAATAAATAATTTAAATTATGAATAAAACTGAAGTGATTCTCACAAATCCAAACACCACCAACTGGAGGGCATCCTCCTCCTTTATAATTTACCTATTTAATTATAAGAAAGAAAGAAACAAATTTCACCTACCCATTGTTGAACCTTCCCCCGACGCCCACCATACCTCAGTTTGAGGGCAGACCCACCCGCAGCCTTTACCATACTCTCTCTCTCTGTCTTCCATTTCCAACTCGCATTTTCACCTGACCTACCATCTCTTCAATTTCACTCACCAGGTTCGTCTCTCTCTCTCCCTCTCTGTGAAACGATCGTGCTGTATTTCATTGTTGCGTCTCAAATTGTTTGGTTGACTTTTACTTTTCGTACATGGTGATTCCTTAATTTTGAATTTCTGTTATCTTTTCTTTGAATTGAAATAAATGCATTTTAACTGACTTTAATATTTTTATTAATCCTAGATGTATGGCGGTTTGTTTTCCCAAAAAAATTTCCCCCAAATCCATACACATATCTGTTATGTTCATACCCATATATTGAATTTTGTATTGATTTATTTACTTGATGATAAGTCTTACAAAAATTGGAACTTCATGTTTCTGTACCCAATCACTTCTGTGGTTCTTGATTCCTTTTTGAATCATGGAAGAGGAAGGTTTTGTTAAGGACCCATGGATTCCATAATCACAAGGGCTTGCTTTTGTTCTTTCCTTGGTGGACTCCTAGTACCCCTTTGTGCTTTCTTTTTTATTTAATAAAATTTCTTTTGTTTCTGATAAAAAAAAGAAGGGGGCTGCTTGGCAGGCACAAAGATGTGTAGTCCAGTTACTAATAACAAAAAAGAACTAACATTCTGTTAAAATTTTAGCTAGGTTGTCGCAATCATAGATCATGGTCCATAAACAAACATGTTCTAGTGAAAGCGGTAGTGGATTAAGACGTACCTCATGCACACCAATCCTTCTAACCAAGGTGAGTTTTGTGCTTCATATCACTTATGATCACAAACAACTTTCAATCTAGTGGAGGAGCAACACCACACAATAGGCGTTACCCACAATATCCATAGTGCAAAGGCTTCTTCATGTTCAATGATGGCAGAGAGATGGTGAGGGCATAGAAAGTGTATCTATCGATGGAGAGAGATGGAATATCTAGATACAACAAAACATTATGTAATACATACATGTGTATGTAACCGTCCACTATTGGATAATGTGGGATACATATAACCAACATTATCTCCAAGATAAGGTGAGATTCAAAATCCATAAGATATTCATTGGGTCCAAGACCCGACTAAAGTCCCAATTCAGTGCAAGACACAACCCTTGTCTGACTACCATGGCTTTGGCAATTCTGATTGGTGTAATACTTGGAATGGATTTAATGCCAACTCCAAGAAGACACTGGGAGTGATTGCGTGTGACAACACCCAAGCCAATCCTTTTCTCTTTGCCTATGAAGCACGAATACTTTAAATAGGAAGACATGTCCGTATGGTATCCGTATCGGATACCGATACTCCTTGGATACTTACAGATACGTATTAGATATTTATTAAAAGTATCGGATACTTCTTAATTAATTTTTCATTAGTTTTGAAGTATCGGATACTTAGTTTTGAAGTATCGGATACTCCAAGTCACATATTGTCGGATACTTTTGAAATATCAAATGCTCCAAGTCACATATTACTCTTTTTACGAAATTAGAATTATATCATTTATTGTATAGCATTATAATATAATATAATTGCGAGGATAAATAGAATATTTTTATAATACTTTGCTTAGTTTTTTTTATAAAAATAACATAGTAAGCTAAAGTAATAGAATTTATCAAATTGACATATCTTCATTGTATCATGCATGTCTCTTATAACTACATAGAAATAAGGATTAATCAGATAATATAACAATGTAAAATTAAATATAAATAATAAATAAGAAAATAAACTTGTATAGAATATTTTTAACTAGTGCAAAAGGAAAAAGTATAGGATCAAGTTGTGGATTGTTTTGATATTGTAATATTAACATATTAGACTTGATATTGTAATGAAATATTTGCAAGACTTATTGAAAATTTAAAAACTAAACTAGCTACTGCCTTAAATGAATACCTAATTCTTAAATATTAGTATTTTGCATCATAAAGTTACTGTGGTTTCTCAACATTCTTGAGTTTATGTGTAATTCACTGCTAATAATTTTTTATTTTTTATTTTTTACAAACGTATCCTAACTGTACCCGTATTCTACTTTTTTAAGTTTTGCTGTATTGCCGTATCCGTATCCATATCCGTATCCATATCTGTATCGTATCGTATCCGTACCTCGTATCCGTATCTGTGCTTTCTAGCTCTTTGCTATTGAAACTAGCATCTACATTGATTTTAGCAATCCCCTAGGGAGGTGCTACCCATACCACTTGTTGAGTTGAATCTTGCTATGAATCATGCGAACTCCTTGCCTAAGTACCGCCTACAATCTCTTTGCTGACAAATGTGGTCTGCCTTCCACCACTTTTGATTGAAGTGCGAACAATTCCATGCTTTCCAAATTCACCAACAAATATACATTGCCATGCTCAGGATATCTTGCATGTCACGACCACAGCCAGAGCTACCTTTGATGATGCAACCCCCATTGAATCGACTATATTATCATTAAAGACCTCGTTTCTCAATTGGAAAGGAGATAACAACCACACCTTATAAGCTTCAATGCCATAGCAAATGGAAAAGCATCTCAAAAGCATCTCCACATCTATAGGACAAACCACAGGTTAACCTGTTTTTTTTATTGAGGTTCACAATTGTAGATAAGATGTCATGCATAACCTTCCGAAAGAAAAGCTTAATTTTAGGTTGAACTCGAAGCCCCCACAGGATCTTCGATACTTAGGTATTTGATTCCTTCAAGTGGGTCTCACCTACGGTCCTAGTGGTCGAGTGTTCTAAATCTTCCTTAGCCAAACAGTGTCCAGAGCTAACCGTATAAGATCCATCCTGCCTATGGTGCCCAACCCTTCAATTTATTTTGTTAGAGATACTGATTGGTAAGGAAAGAATCAGTTGTGCATGCTCATCCACAAAGAGTCCTTGAATTATCTCCCCCTTCCACCCATGTGTATTAATATTAACATCAATGAGATCTGCAACCATATGTACTGAACAATATGGGGGTGGTTGGGAAATAATCCTGAAGGTAGACTTATGGGGAAGCAATGGATCTAACCACAGTCGAATGTTCATCCCATTTTACAAGCTCTAACGCCAGCCCTTCTGAAGGAGGTCCGTAGCCCAAATCATACTGCACAATGCCCAAGAACTCTAACTTCCAGCTTTTTCTTGCCAAAATGAGGAGTTCGGAAAATATTTACCTTTAAACAACCCTTTAAGCAAAGATGATTCTTCTGACATTAGCTTCCAACTTTGTTTAGCCACCAGTGCTGATTGAAAGACTGCAAATCGTTGAATGACATGCCACCAGCTCCCTCTCATTTACTCGGCTTCCTCCAATTGAGTCAGTGAATCTTTCTCTCCTCTGTTTTAGCCCCCACCAGAAAATTGGAATTGTAGCACTCAGCTTCTTTGTTAATGTAGTTTGGAGCTTGAAACATGACACTACGTAGTTTAGCAAAGCTAAAAGCATTGATTTTAGTAGGACTTCACAGTTGGCAAGACTCAATAGAGATTCCTTCCACTCCTATATATATTTCATCATTCTATCCTCGTCTTCAACTGCTCTTAATTTGAGATGGTGACGACTCCTTTTGTATTTAATAGTAACATTAATGATAGAAGTCTACTATTCTTTGCAAAACTAACACAAATAACAAAAAAAAAAAAAATGAGGGTAAAACATATTTGTGGTGTTGGAGCAGAAATATAACAGCTCTCTCATCTAAATACCAATATACCGTCGATTTTTCTGGCTGCTGAAACCAAGAAAGGAAAGAGAATCAGATTTTTTATCTCAAGTTTAACAAAGGCAACACATGTAATCTTTGGTTGGCCTATAGTTGGTCAAGGGTTGAGGTGATATTATAGCTTTATTGTGCTTGAAGTATTTAAAATTCAAATTTGTAAATTATGTTGTAGATAAAGTTCATTGATTTAGTTGAGTTCTAAACTCAAAAGAAACCAAGGTGTGTACACTTATAATTAATAGTATTAGTTTGATAGTTGCTTATTGTCTTTGCTGTTACAATGCTTTTTTGTTTACAAAGGCTTCAGAAAACAGGCTTCTATATGAAGTATACTGTTTGTTCATTGCTTCATTTCCATGGAGGGGAAATTCTAGAAAATTTGGGGTATTGGCTATTTACTAATTTAATGGTTAAAGAAAATTGACTTGTCATTCTTCATTGGTAACACCTCTGATGTGATTTTTTCTTTTCTTTTCTGTTCTTTTTTTTTTAAAATTTGAAGCTTTTTAATGAATTTGATTGAAGTTTTTAATGTGTTTCTTTTATACTGTTCCAGGCCCACATAACAAGTTTAATGAAAGTGTAAAATGCATTTGATTCCTCAACCTTACCTTGTTTATATACTGCACTTGATTCCTATTGATGATTCTTCTTTACCATGTGTGTGGACAGTCTGCCATGCTAATTCGAGCACTTCTTCTATCAAGTTCTGACAGATATACTTTGTGAACTTGGTTTTTTATTCATCGTGCGTAGTTGAAGCCACTTTGATATTATTTGTAATACAAGAAGAGGAAAGTGTATGCCGCATGCTTTTGGACTGTTAGTATAGAAGGTTTCTTCATGGTCTGAATTTATAGGAAAGGGCTCCCTACCTATCAAAAAAAAAGAAAAAAGAAAAGGGCCCTACACTTCCAAATGGAGGAGGTTCAGCTCAACAACTCAGAAGATGTAATTTGTCCCATATGCTTGGATTTCCCTCACAATGGTGTTCTCCTCCAGTGCTCATCTTATGAGAAAGGATGCCGACCTTTCGTGTGTGATACAGATCATTTGCATTCAAATTGTCTGGATCGATTCAAAACTGCATATGGGATGCCATCTGGTTCACAAGCACCTTCACCATTGGATGCTACTTCCCTAGAAAACATCCATCCAATATTGTCAAAATCCAGTGACAAGCCATCTTGTCCTTTATGTAGGGGAGAAGTCACAGGGTGGGTTATTGTTGAGAATGTCCGTTTACATTTGAATGAGAAGAAACGTTATTGTGAGGAGAATCAATGTGCATTTATGGGCTCCTACTTGGAACTTCGGGAGCATGCTCAACTAGAACACCCTCACGCGTGCCCTTCAAAAATTGATCCTGCTCGGCAGCTTGATTGGGAGAACTTCCAGCAATCCTCTGAGATAATAGACGTTTTAAGCACTATCCAATCAGAAGTTCCACGTGGTGTGGTTTTGGGAGATTATGTGATCGAATATGCAGACAATGATACGGCTGATGAGTTTGAGGACTTCCCTGGTGATGAAGGCAACTGGTGGACATCATGTATCTTATATCAGGTGTTTGATAACTTTAGGACTTCTAGAAACAGAAGAAGGTCAAGAGCCAGTGATTCGAGAAGAGGAAGTCGCAATTTGAGTTATGAAACATCTAATTCTGATGAGGGTTCTGTCACATCAGTAGAATTTGCAGAGTACAGAGTTGATGAGACTGATGATGAGTTTGTGAGTACAAGTGACCATTCAAGGCGGAGATCTGGTAATCTCAGGTCAGTAATAGCTTCTTTGTATTTCTGACTTTTCATGTTGTGTAGAACCAAGTTATAGGGTTGGTTTTCATAGTTTCTTATCTTGGTGACCTTATTTTATTTTCCTCTCAATGGATAAGGTTCATGTCTACGATTTATTGTCTTTTTGTTTTTCTAGGTTTTAGAATATTTATATGCTTTTGTGCTACAAATTCAGAAATTAGGTTAGGAAAAATTGAGCCATTCCTCTTTTGGATTCTCAATATGTTAGCTTTACATGTTACAGTATAATAGCAAAGAACATGGATTAATGAATCTGCAGCATTTACACTTTCTAGGTATTATTTAGTCCATATTACTTAATTTTTTTATTATATAAAATTGTTTCTCCATTGACTTTTACAATGAATTACAATCTTTGGCATGTACATATAGAGACTAGATATTATTGTTTGTAAACTGTAATATTACCATCTTATGAGTATGCTTGAATGAAAGGCTTGGGTAGCCCTTTGCCTTGTGCTGTATAGGGTTACTTTTGGTACCCTGGATGCAACTAATAAAAAAAAACTTTGGTTTTAGGTAGACTTATAAACTTGACCAAATCTAATTACATCCTGATAGATCATTTAATTTACGATGTTGAAATATATTTTAAGGACTTTAATTAATTTTTTTCAGTGTATGTGTTGTCCTCCCCAAACCCCGCATTAGTGGGAAATTGGGAATCGTGCACTGTGGTGTCCTTTTATACTTAGGTTGGAAAAATTAGACGACATATGAGGTGATGACATTTTAATTACTTGCTTATCTAAGTAATTGACGAGGAATGGGTTTGTTGTGTATCTTATTGGTGGATCAGGAGGGTGAAGGATGGAGTTGGTGTGGGTGACTAACCAAACCAAACTAAGCATTGGGCCTATGTGAACTTTTTTTTTTTGTTTTTGCCATTGTACTCTGTCAAGCTTTGTGTCTCAAAAAATTAGTGAAGATCCGTCAAAAAAAGAAATTGTCAAATTGCAAGATGATGTCAAATTATATATTCCAAATGAGTCACCAATTGATGTCTTAATTACGGCGGTGAATTGGAGAGCTACCATAGCACGTGAGTTTGTTCTTGTATTCATGGGATTTGAAAACAAAAGGAATGCAACCACTCCTTAACAATGCTCTTATTTTTTTGCCTCGTTCTATTGAAGTTACTAACTACACCCTTGATCAGACGAAGAATGAAGAGAAGGGTTTTGAGGGAGTTGCCAAAATTGCTTATGGGGCAGATGCTTATAGATGGAAGCCAAGTATTCTTGGGTGACTTGTGCATTCA